TAAAGACATTTAAACGATGTCCCTGAAGGTGGCAATAAAACAATAATTGGAACAAAAACTGACTTAGTATTTTTATATAAACATTGCACTGTATTCAGTGGCAATCTGGCCATGGCAACTGGTCATGCTCAGTAGTGAGTATGCTCATGCTTGAACGTGCTATATGCTAACAAATCTGCATCTATTTGAATGATGCAATTCATTAAAAACTTGCATAGCATGACCAATCTCGTACCCAGAGCAATGCCTGTGCGCTGGCTAGGAAGGCATTGTCTCTGGGGAAATAGACAACCGGAACCCCTAAATTTAGGGGTTCCGGGTTTTTGTCGGCATGCACTCCTGATAAACGTTAAACCAATCACAGCACAGGAAAAATTCTATTTCCCCAGGGCAAAGGTTCCAACCCTCCCGATTTGATCGGGAGGCTCCAGATTGTAGCAATGAGCATGACCTGTTGCTACGGCTAGCTTTGTCATTGACAGTACTATAATTATAGTTCCAAAGCAAGAAATTATAAGCTTTGAAGGTATTCATATAAAACTGCCCACGCCAAGAAAGTAGAATTAGAACATTTAGTCGACCTTTGACTTTGTGCAAGGCCGGTTTGATATTCAAATTGCACTTTTCCTACCTCCTGAACAGGCATCTTAGGGGCTGTTTACATGAGGGAAGGCACAATTGTTTTGATGTATTGAAATAAGTCACTAAGCTAAACGAAATTTCAAATACTGATTAAACAGACTTTGAATGTTGTATAGAAGATCTTGCTCAAGAAGATCATTATTGCTGCTTCAACAGCCTTTAGTTTACAGTTAACCCACGATACACGTTCCACACTTATACACATGTGACCACCGAGTTTATACTTTATAGTGCACTTTTATAAGATGAGATGTGAGATACAATTGTACGAGGCAATTGATGTAGAAACATACAGTGAAAAAGACACTTTTTGGTTGTAGTACATCCTGCATGTACATTTTGGCAGCATTTTCCTTGCGATAGTAACTCCTAGTATGGATCAGACTTCATCCTCGCGACCTGCGCGTGGAATCGTCGTGTTCACTGTTCGGCAAAATACTGAAACAAGCCGCGGGAAGTTTTTTGGCGTTTTTATCTAAAAAGAAAGCTCTAGTTTTTCATTATAATCCTATTTTTGTCTGAATTCGAACAGTACGTATGTTATTAACTAGTTTAACCTATCTTTTAGTGTGGTTTTACGTATTTACGTTCAGCATTGTCTTTCACAATGCTCAAAATTTTCAACTTGTTGTGTTGCGAACTGTCAAACTGAAATGATACTGTCTTTTATTAACTCTTGAACAGTAGTGAACTGTCGCCGAAACTTATGTAAGTTCTGTCAATCAATTCAATTCAATTCACAGGCATCGGTTTATCTGCTATAAATCAAATAAAACAGTTGTGAGTTGTTTTATATGAAAAGTTAAACTTGTAGTTCGATTTTTTTCTGTGTTGGTGTTGTGTACTCAGGTGAATATGATGTTTGTGATGTTACTCTGAGTGTATATCCACACCGGGCGAGCTTGAAAATATGCCCGGCCACGGTGGGAATCGAACCTACGACCTTTGGATACTAACCCAATGCTCTATCAACTGAGCTACGCGGTCAGGACGGTTCGAGTAAGTGATATTTCGGAACAGAATCTAGTTCCTTCGATACCAATGTAATCTTGTAATATGATTTTTTCTGTGTTGGTGTTGTGTACTCAGGTGAATATGATGTTTGTGATGTTACTCTGAGTGTATATCCACACCGGGCGAGCTTGAAAAATATGCCCGGCCACGGTGGGAATCCAACCTACGACCTTTGGATACCAGCTCAATGCTCTGCCAACTGAGCTACGCGGTCAGGACGGTTCGAGTAAGTGATATTTCGGAACAGAATCTAGTTCCTTCGATACCAACGTAATCTTGTAATATGATTTTTTTCTGTGTTGGTGTGCATGTTGTGTACTCAGGTGAATATGATGTTTGTGATGTGACTCTGAGTGTATATCCACACCGGGCGAGCTTGAAAAATATGCCCGGCCACGGTGGGAATCGAACCTACGACCTTTGGATACTAACCCAATGCTCTATCAACTGAGCCACGCGGTCAGGACGAAGGAACTAGATTCTGTTCCGAAATATCACTTACTCGAACCGTCCTGACAGCGTAGCTCAGCTGACAGAGCATTGGGCTAGTATCCAAAGGTCGTAGGTTCGATTCCCACCGTGGTCGGGCATATTTTTCAAGCTCGCTCGGTGTGGATATACACTCAAAGTAACATAACAAACATGGTAGTTCGATGTTTTGAAAAGTTTTCACACCGATGTTAACAACAAAAACAAATGTAAAGAAACATTGGATTTAATACAATGCGTAATAGTGTTTTTATTATTCGTATTTTCAAGATTAATATTTTATTTTCATGTCAAACAAGTCAGAAATATCTGTTTTCGTATGTATTATAAGCCAAAAAGTTGAAATCGCTATAAATCACACGCTACAATTTACATGCATGCGCAGATCGCGCTCATGTTGAGTCGATTTTTCTTCATGCTGGCCTCGCCGATTTTAGCGATGATTTTCTCGTGCTTTCTTCAGTGAAATTTTTTTAAACTTTGTATTTTTGTTATACAAGACGAGTGGTATAATATATCCAAATTTTAAGAAATTCTACAAATAACTTTTTCTGTAACCGTCATTCACGAATATCTCGAAAACTTATTTGTAAACCTCCTTTCAAATTTTGATATGTATATTTCCTTTATGGACCATAAATCTTCAAAAAAAATTTCAGAAAAATTCATCGCAGGAAAGTATAGATATTGTCAATTTATTGTGAAATTAGACAATAAAAGTGTAAAAGATTAAACGTCATGGTTGCCATGGCAACACGAACACTGTTTTAATTTGTTCATGAATGGAGAGCATACAGCTTAATTCTGAAATTTCCTGGAAATGATCACATTGCCTTGTCTTAAGTGTATCTAATATAAATTCGGTTCAAAGCGAACGTTACTGAAAATACCTAGAATTTTAGAGAACTGTAGGGAGCTACCTTAAACCAATAACTGCACTAATTAAAAAGCCCTTGAAAAACAGCACCTTAGATTGGCATAGCATTAGATTACTACATACCCAGATAACAGAGAAAACTAAGCACGAAAGTTGCAATTGTACTCTGCGTTTGCGTAAAAGTAGGTCGAACGGAAATTGTCATATCGTTACGGGAATTTTAGATATATTTCAACCGATAACTGCATGCATTGTAAAGGCCCTGAAAAACAGCACATTACATTGGCATGCATATTAAAAATTAGATTACTACATACCCAGATAACAGAGAAAAGTAAGAATGAAAGTTGCAATTGTAGCTAATTTACGTTTGCGTAAAAGTATAGGTCGTACGGAAATTGTCATATAATCGTAACGGGAATTTTAGATATATTTCAACCGATAACTGTATTGTAAAGCCCTTGAAAAACAGCACATTAGATTGGCATAAAATTAGATTACTACATACCCAGATAACAGAGAAAATTAAGGATGAAAGTTGCAATTGTAGCTAATTTGCGTTTGCATAAAAGTAGGTCGTACGGAAATTGTCATATCCTTACGGAATTTTAGATATATTTCAACCGATAACTGCATTGAAAAGCCCTTGAAAAATAGCACATTACATTGCCATAAAATTAGATTACTACATACCCAGATAGCAGAGAAAATTAAGCATGAAAATTGCAATTGTAGGCTAGCTATTTGCGTTCGCGTAAACGTAAACTGTACGGAAATTGTCTTACCTTAACGGGAATTTTAAATATATTTAAACCGATAACTGCATCGAAATGTCCTTGAAAAACAGCACATTGCATTGGCATAAAATTCAACATGAGCTCCACCTTTGAATTTACTATATGAGTAAATTCTTAAACACGTCCAAATTTATCATTATGATAAATTCGCGGCACATTTTGAATGTTTTCATGTTTTTAAAAAAATAGTTTTTAAAAAAGTTTTAAAAAGTTTTAAAAGAGTTTTAAAAAGCAAGAAAAGTTTAAAAAGTTAGATTTTTAAAAAAGTTAAAAAAATTTAAAAACTTTAAAAAATGAGGGTTAGTGGTTAGGGGTTAGGGTTAGGGGTTAGGCCGTTAGGGGTTAGTGGTATAGGGTTGGGGTTAGGGTTAGTGTTAGGTGCCGCGAATTTATTATTATGATAAATTCAAAATTTGCCGCGAATTTATCATAATGATAAATTCGGACGTGTTTAATTAAGAATTTACTCATATAGTAAATTCAAAGGTGGAGCTCATGCTGGTGGAACAACACCGCGGAAAAACGTCTGCGCATGCGTCAACCTTACCTGTAATAGTATTGCGAACTTGATACCGCGGAAAAATGTCTGCGCATGCACCGAATTATGAAAATATGGCGGGGAATTTGAACATCAGTTTCTAAAACAAAAACATGCTTATTAATTTGTTAAAAATTAGTAAAACAAACGAGAAAATATAGCAAATGGGTAGACTAGACATTAATTGAAAGCGTTTTGGCATTTAAAGTATGGAATGAAATATAATTCATGTAAAAAATTGTTGATTTTAACGGACATAACTTCGGAAAATTTTTGCAAAATTATTCAAAACAAAAATTCAAGCTCAAAAGTTAAGAAAACTCTCGAAAAGTTAAGCTTCTTAACACACTCAAATTGTAGAATACATCCTAAAGTTTAATTATTGTGAACACGAAAATTTTTTATATTTGGCGACACAGTTTTTTTTAAAGAAATGTATCTCAAACGAAAATTCGGAAATTGTCGTTGCTTAGTTGATAAACAAAATGTTTCAGATGATAAATTTGTCAACAATCACCTTTAGTTCATGTTCTTGTACAATACAATTTCTTGAACCTTCTGGCTGTATTTATTCCTAGTTTTTAGAATGACATGTTTATTTTTGCGCTCGAAATCTGGCTGTAAAGACGCACAATGAAGTCACTCCTTTTTACCGCCATTTTGAGCCTTCGGAAACGTTCGGAACAGCTTCTCGTCAAGTTCGCAATACTATTACAGGTAAGGTTGACGCATGCGCGGACGTTTTTCCGCGGTGTT